GTTTATTCACTAACCGTTTAAGTAAAAAAGTCCAGATAACACAGTAAATATTTATTTATTGCAAATGGCGGGCTTATGATACTTATCATTAGTCCTTTAGTTTACTTTGGGTTTCACAGAGGGAAGGAACATGAAAGTGAGAAAAGTGGAGATGAGGAACAGAAGAGAGGTTCAAAATGTAAAAGAGAGGCAGACGCAGAGGTAGAGTAAAAGGTAAGGTTAGTATGACATACAGTGGGGTCATGGTAGTTTGAAGTCAGAAGTCAACTGCCAGTTAATAGACTTTTTTGCCGTATGAGTATACACTGGCCAGGGTGCACCACGTGGAGGTAAGTCTATCGCACACCCCACACAGTAAACATCGATTCCCAAAAGAACAAAACCCTCCAGTTTCTTCAGAAACACTTGTTTTTGGACTAACTAGAAAGAAGTTCCGGCATTTATGAATGTGTCATTAAAATAAATTGTGAATGGTTGCTCAATAGTTCGAAATCAAATGAAGCAAGTATGAAATGACTGAAGTGAGTCAAACAATAACCTCTGGAACACAGTTCCACCTATTCCCCACCTTTTGATTTAAATTGTAGATTTTTTATTTTTAGACAAATATGTAGTGAATATACAAAATAGCACGGTTTTGTATTTTAAAACGTAATATTTTTGCTTTTTAATAAGATTTCAACCCAATAAGCATGTGATGCTATAATCAATCATGAAGGAATGATGACTTTTAAAAATAAGCAAAGTATTTGATAATTTAAATGAATTTACTGTTTTACACTTTCACCATTAGGCTGTTTTAATTAATTAATTAAATTTTAGATGGTTTCCGGTAGTTGAATTCATGGCCTGGAAGAGGGCGCAGATTGCTCTACAGAGTTTAAATTTTAGTTTGTAATTTAATTTAACCTAATTGCGGTGTTAGATAATACTAAATTTCCCATTAAAATATGAATCTAACAACATGAGGGAAAAAGTTCTAAATCCTATAAAGTAGGGACGGAAGGCAAAAGGTTAGAAAATTTTCTTTCACAAAAAATTATTTTAGAACGTTAACAATTTTTTGGCTAGATATTCCTGGAAATCTTGCTGGTTAACTTTTGAGATATACCTCTTCGGTACCAGATTGATAAAGTTAATTAATTGTCATTAACATCCACAATTACCCATCCAATATTTTCATATCATACAATATTTTTGTATGAGCCATTAAGTTACTATGATCTGCATATGACGTTACGAAGGAACAAATCAATCAAGCTTTGATACCCAACCATTTCCATAAATCAGCCGTTCAACGTGGTGTGAAAAATTTATAGATATCGTCCTCGTAAAATAAAGTCGTGAATAAAAACGGTTATTATAACTTAGGATGAAATACTTTTTTTGTCAAATATTAATATTCTTTCGAAGTAGCTTTTTGTATGGATTTTGACCTTACACATCTTCTATGCTCTTAAAACCCTCAGTTTTCCAATTTCACGATTTTTATACCTTATATTAAGTTGAAAAGCAGTTTTAAAAATTTATATTAAAGTAATATTTTGGCCTAAGTGAAACAATTTAAAGTATTTCTTCATAAAAAACCATAATGGTATTTATATACGGTATTTAGCCTCATTTAATTGAATATTACATATTCATATCAAAGCACTTTTCAAAACCATCAAAGTCCCAAATTTTAAAAATAAAAATTTTTTAGTTTTTCATTTAAAGCGCAGCGGCACGAAATTTTTGTTGCCTTTAGTTGTGAAATTAGCAGATATTAAACACCAGAGAGTACATTAAATGATAGGGGAAGTGGATTTGAAGTTCAGATAGTAGGGTCCAGTCATAACCGAGTCTGACTTTGGTTCTATGCATCCGGTTATTACAAAATGCCTTCTATGGACAATCCATTTTCAAAGATTAGAATTACATGTTTCGTGCTATAGATTACAGCAAATTCTTGACAGTGACGTTTCTGACGCAGCGTCTAGTATTATTTAACTAAAGATGTCGGTCTAGTCGTTTCAGTTACTTGTTCCTCCAATGTTGATGTTTCACAATTTTGCTGATTGGACATGATATAGAGGAGATAGCTATGAATTTTAATTTAAAAGAGAATTATCGTGCTGAATACTTGAGTTGCACATATTTATTTATAATTTTTTTAAAGACGCACACAGACTGCCTCAAATTAGTTCCCAATGATTTTCTCAAACTGAAAAAAAATTGGTTATAGATTCAAACAATGTTCTATACTATTTATATATTTTTACCGGGCCCATTGCAAACAAAAGACTCCCGTTAAATTGCATTATTTACATTTATATGTAGTTTTTAACTTTATTTATCAAGCACTCTCTAAGTAAATGAACTATATAGTGCACAAAATTTTCGCTTTTGATTGGAGCATTTGATATGAAATGTAGTGATTGGTTGGCAGTTGGCAAATCAGAGTTGTCGCAAAATTACCTCGAACACTTATAACCCTCTTGAGAGTAAATTAGACAAAGCTATGTTTAAGACATCTTAAAGAATAAAAATTTCCAATTCAATGAGCGGCCTATACGAATTATGTGGCTCAGATGAAAATATCACAATTTTCTTGGGATACAATGTAAGCTACCTTATATCCAACTGCTCGATTTAATAAAGTGTCATAACTATTTATTATTTTACAATTAAAGAACGTTTTTAGTGCGTCGGTTTAAGAGATGAATATTTCCTAAAGAAATTAATAGTCGTTAATCTTAAATCGATATAAATTTAAATTGTATCTGAATGCAATAAAATATGCCTAATTCCATTACATCAAAAGTAGGTTAGTTACTGTTATGATTATTTTATTTTTAATTTCAATTCGTTTGTTTCTCACACTTATTTTGATGATAAATTATAGGAAGGATTACTTCACATTTTTTAAATATTTAAATATTTTTAATATTTTAATAATATATGTATGGTGCTTTAATTTAATAATTTAAAATTATTTTTGGCTTAGTCCTAAATAAGAAATGCTTATGAAGAATTTTATCCTGCGAGCATAATTTGTGGTTCATTTTATTTATGCTTTAAGTCAAAGCTTTATAGTAAAATTAGCTCGTATTTCAACTCATAACAAACTATTGTGTAAGCTTTTAAAAGCTGATCCCAATGGCCATAAAATTTTTTAAAATCTAACCTGAACAAGTCTCATGATTGCTTATTTAAGGAACAGTATTGAATTTGCTACCTTTTAGAACGTATTTTAATCTTCAAAGGATTTGCCTTTTTGTCTTTAATTGATTTGCATTTTATATAAGTAGAAGTGGGGGAGGGGACAATTACATGAAAGAAACGCTTTTTGGCTGGCGGGTATAGGACTACATTAATTTCCTTTAGAGCTAAAAATGATGACATATATTTTATCTACTCTATATTTAGAAATTTATTGTAGTATTGCAAATTCCAAAGAATTAATGACTTCCAAAGTCTCATAATTACAACTAAATATATTTATTCACAACGAATACCTTTGTATACTTGTTCGAGACAGCCTTATGCTAACATCAGAAAAATGTTAATAATTGGAAGCAAATATAAAATGTCACTTTACAGTAGTTTGTTTTTAACATGACCAAGAAATATGTCTTCACGTTTGAGTAATAACATTTTTAAAATTGATTCTAGGCAGCTTATGTTAGATTTATTATTTTTTTATTGAAAATCGATTTTTCAAGACAATGACAAAACTGAAAATGAAGTCAACATAATCTGCTTCATTTGCGAAATACTCGTCCTAAATGGAAAAGTATAATGGTTTAAAATTCAAATTGTTGTATGTGATTAATTTTTGGCAGGCCTAGTTAATTTGCCAACTTAATTTTTACCCATAATTTAATGTTAAAAAATTGAAACAATTGAAATGTTAAGCATTATGGATTTTATGAGCAAAAGTGTTGGAGCTTTAAAATCAGAAATAACACACATTCTGGCCTTCTCTTATTTTCTGCCAATGAATGCCATACATTATGACCGTTTGAGACGTTGCTTTTTGAAATTACTAGTATTTTTCAGCAGGTTTAAGGTATTTTTACTTAGATTTTCTTCTGCATTTTCAAGCATATAAAAAATCAAGTATCATTTATTATTGATAAATTGGCAAATTGTGTACCATTTTATATATATTTAATTTTTACATAAAAAATGCCTTTATTATTATCAGTCGTGGTAAAAATTTATTATATAGAACACTACTGTGACTTATATACGGAAATTTTAATTATCGGTTTAAGGCGAATTCAACCAATGGGATTTTTTAGAGCAATATTTTAAATTGGTCGGTCAAATGTTCAACCACATTTTTATAAAAATAAGGTAATAGAATATTATGGCCCCCAGTAAATTAGTCAATTTTAATTGATTAATATGAAGACCTCATTTAAATCTTTTGTAACTACGTACTCTAAAGGTTTAAATTGTCTTTATATATCGAATGGAAATAAATAATTGCACTTAAATGGATAGAGGTATTTAAAGGATAAGAAAATATATACGAGCTTATTTCATTTGAATCAATCCTTATTTTATCAACTTACCTCTATCTTATCTTTATTAATGGTTTCAGGATCTTTTGGAATTAAATGTATCCGGTCCACCAGAATCCAATTATTTCCTCCTGAAAAACGGAAATGACTCGATGACATTAACAAAACGGAGCTTTAACGAGAGTACTTTAATGCCAATAAGTCAACTTGAGCCAGTGAATGAAAACTGCGATTGGCTCTACCAACTCTCCTCCCGTGCCGTCCCATTCACTCATCTTGTTCAGACAACCATTCTTCCCTTCTTCCTTGCTCTCACAGTTATAATCAATATCCTCCTATGCATCACCCTAAATCGACCAAATATGCGAACCCCAACAAATTTCATCCTTCTGGCTATTTCAGTAGCCGATCTTCTTACTGGTCTCTTACCTCTTCCAATCCTTACAGCCTTTAATACGGACTACTTCGATACCGATCTCACTTTGGTCAAAGGTTATTTGACGCATTACTGCTCCGTCGTTCTTCCAACCATATTTCACACAATATCGATTTGGCTTACTGTACTTCTGGCCTTGCAGAGGTTCATTTACGTGGTTAAACCACTGGAAGTGTATAAATATGCCATTTGTCACTACCGTGGTGTCGCTATCAGCATTTTTATTATTTCAATTTCCGCCCTGATTTTTTACGCAAACAACTTCTCCATTACCTATAACTCAGGTGCAGTGGTTTGTACAAACAGCCAGAAGGCAATTAGCAGTATTCACAGCAAAATGCTCAAGTGCACATTTCTTCCACGAAATATACAATTTCCCATTTTGCTTCTTAGAGCCTTAACGGTACATATCATTCCATGTCTACTGTTGTGTGTTCTAACGGCCTATATGCTGGTTGCATTGAAGGGCATTTCCAAGAGGCGTAATGAACTCTTGAAAAAGCAGAAGGAAATGAGGATGCTAGCAAATTCTATCAGAATGGCGGATAATCACAATAATAACGTGAATAATCAAATGGCGAAACGGAATAAGAAAAAACCTGTAAACGGAGATGTCTATAAAACTTCGAGGATTATGCTTGTTGTCTTATTGCTATTTCTATTCGTTGAAATACCGTCTACCGTCCTCGTTACAACTTACAGCTTACTTATCGCGCTTCAAGGAAAACCAATGCCCTACTTTTCTGAGGTAGGTCCAAATGTTCCATAAAGCCAACTTAAACATTATTCGAATAAAAGTACAATCTTTAATTAAATAGACGTATTAAGCGAATTTTAAATTGGAAAACATCTGTGAAAAATATGGTTGTTAGTTGTAGACTTTTGCTTACACCATGAATTAACTTTAATTTTATCTCTAACCTCTGTGATGTTAAAAACATAATCTTTGAAATATCACAAACGTTCATTTGCTTCAATAACCAATGAAAGTATAGAGAAGGTGGAAACGAAGGGTGAAATTTTTATTTTTGGAATTGACCAGGTCTAATGCAATCAGTGTCAATATATTTTACCATTGACTGACCTCTCTGACATTCAATATCAGTTTTCCGTGATATTGTTTTTTATATAAATCCGAAAAGTGGTAATAATTTCATTAAAATCTATAAACTTGTCAATGTGCCAATCACCAATTTGTATAATTTAAATTTTGAACGTAAAATAAAATATTGAAAATGCCCAAACATGCACTAAAGGCATCAAAATAATTGTATTTTTCCTCCTTTAATTTTATATCAACCATTAAAACTACAATTTAATTTTTAACAATGAATTTCGATGAATATTTATTGTGACAATGGGCGCTTTGCAACAAGCAGTTTCATTGGGTCAGTTATTTTGAAATTTCATTTTAAGTTTATGATATAACGAAAAATAGAATTTAAAGCAATCAATATATCAATCGCGTCTCACTCTCACAATTGCTAATGAAACATTTATTTATTTATATCAAATGGCAGGCGTTTTGATGATCGTCATTAGCACTTTAGTTGACTTCAGGCTTCACAGAGGGAGAGGAACATTAAAGTGAAAAAAAGTCGAGATTGG